GGATCTGATAGAGGCAGATGAGTTATACAGTCTTATCCATGTTTATCCACTAGAGAGCACTGACAGATATCAGTATTGTTTATTATGTGTTTATTATATATCCACACAGTATATCACTATCAACCTCCTAATTATTAAGTTTAATATCAGCATCAAGCATCCAGGTTGGGCAACAGTTTTCTGCAATTTGGATATACTATATACTCAAATGATGTGGAGAGCATATATTTGTGTATTCATAAAAAAACTATTGTTCTGAAGTTGACATATATAGGCTAGAAACTGGAGCATCACTGTTCTACTTTTAACCGAAGCGCCAAAACTTTACCTTGCAAAACAAAACTTGAATTGGAAACCTCAACAAGAAGTGCAGAATAGAAAAATGGGCAGTAGGCTACAGATTTAAGAGAGAGTGATGTGTGATGACATTGGTCTCTTGTCAGCAGCTTCAGTATCTGCAGTGATACAAACAGGCTACGGGAAACAAAGATTTTAAGGACACACTGTTGGACACAAAATACAATCCAAAAATATTTCCTGAGTGACACTGAAAAATATGAATGAGGAATGAGGCAGGAGGGGTGATGCTGTTGCTCTCTCGTCACTGTTTGTATTACGGTTTTTGCAAGCTCACTGTGCTGCATTGGACCAGCTTAGGAAAAGATTGGAGGGAGTGAGTTTGCAAGATAGCAAGCGTGAGATGAGACAGAATCAATAACATTCCCACATACAGTATACCCTCCTTTCCTGTGTTAAGCCGTATCTGCTGTTCTTACCAATGTTATTCCTATTCGCTGCAGTGGGGCTGACGCTGACCTTGACCATTTTATGAGCAAAGCGTAACACAGTGTGCACGAAACAAAGGGCAGAAATCACAGGAATGTTAGAAACTGTGCAGAAAATGTTACAGCTGCAACCACTGATCACACTGGTGTGCCAGTGTTGTGTTTTCTCTCTATAACCTCTGCATCTGTGTACAAGTTCTGCATAGCACCTCGAGAGCATGTAGTTTACACCTCACACACTAGATGGAAGCATTAAGCATAAGGTGCTTTAATGGTTTAAAAGAGGGCTAAAGAGTCTAGAATGGATGAGGAAAAAGGAAACGACAACCAACAAAAAAGATGTGCCAGTTTATTGACCTACCTGCTTAGAATGGTGAAAGTAAGATTTAAGCTTCCTAATGCTGACTGTAGTCCCTGGTACACAGTTACAGTTTCCACAAGGGGCACAGCAGATGTTCTCCTCTTATTTACAGTAATGTCACAGCAAGGACTTTGCGGTGTCATGTTACTGATGTCAAGCCAATAATAGACAGATTATGTGTGTTATAATGTGTTCTTAAAATCCTGAAAATTTAACTGAAATGGTAGATTGGATAAATACTCTAAAATGTATGCCCATGTCGGGTCATTTAATTGCATAAATCATGCATTGCATTTTACTGTACATTAGTGAAAGTGCCAAAAAATGTGCCAGTACTTTTATTCATACATTTACACAACTATAACCCTAATTGTTTTGGTGTGTTTGGTTGGACATTTTCAGTGCAGTTTTCTTCTTGTTAAGCTAGCTGTGTGTTTAAAGTTCACAGACTCTGAAGCTTTTCATTTGGACTATTTTCAAGTGCAGCTATTGTGTAGGGAACTGGGAATGACTTATGTACAATATATTGCAAAGAAATATAGGAAATTACCAAGAAATACTCCAACATCTGTAAAACTGCATCTTTCTTTTAATTTTTGATGAAGACTTTGTGAACTTTGGACTACACCGGGTTAGCACTTTCCAGTCTGTTTGTGAAGCTAAGCTAACCAGCCACTGACTATAGGCGTATCTTAAACAGACACACAGAACATTTTCTCCCTGCAGGAAAACCAAAATGCTGAACAACTGTTTTAAAACGGACAGGCTGATTTTGTGTTCGCACAATACTGCTGCACCGTAAAGCTGATTCTCCTTCCTCCACAGGCATCTGGTCTGCTCAGGCCCTTGAGATGTCCGTTGGGAAGATTCCCTTCTTGGAGGCAGTGAATGGCAGCACAGTCATGTTGCCTTGCACATATTCCAGTTGTATCGGCATCAAGAACCTCTACTTCAACTGGCAATTCAATGACAATGGCACCATGCAGAAGGTAAGACCCTTCTGTTTGAGAGAAAGATTGATGTTCAGGTTTTGGTTGTAAGTGGTCATTTTAGGTGACGAGAGCTTGTTGGTCCTTTCAGGTGTGTGAGTCAGTGATAGCGACAGAGGGGATAGAGCCAAAGGTGAGTATATATCGAGACCGGGTGGAGTTTGTGGGGAAAAACCATCACAACAACATCTCCATCGTGCTGTGGAACATCACCTTCGAGGACGGAGGCCAGTACACTTGTTTTGGACGCAACCCCAAAGAGAAGGGCAAGAACCACAGTGCCATCTTCAACCTCATTGTGGTGGACGAGGGTGAGTGGTCAGGGTCTGTAAGGGAGGGGTCTGATAAGTCTGCAGAAAGAATCTAAGGGTGACAGTAAAAGATAAACTAAATAATGTGAAATTAATTTATGTCAGATTTCTCTTCTTGTGCATCTATTATATTAGTTTTCCCTAACAAGTCAGGTTTGTTCCTCCAAACACACACACATACGCACAGTCCAGAATCCTACTTTTCAACTAAAATAAGCATTTTTGTTTTTAAGCTTAAGCCTATTCATCACTTTAATTGGTCTTCAGTGCTTTTTTGAAAAGAAGGAAAAGTGTCATATCACATCTTGCTTGCACATTAAACCTTAAATTAGTCTCTACTCTGAAGTGGAACAACATTACAGTTTCTTATAGCTGCTGGTGGAAACTTTGAACAAATGAGCGAAACAATTCTACCACCAACCCACATAGATGTTTTCTCCGTACTGATAGCTGACAGGGTATAAAATAAATTCACCACATATTACTAAAATGGTTCTGGGAGAGTGCAAGTAGTAGCTTTAAAAGTCTAAAATGTCACAAGAGAAAAGCTTTGTGTCATTCTTTGTACATTTTAAATCTATGTTTTGGTGTGTCGGGCATATAGGAGAATTAATCTCTTGTGGAGGTACCAACTTGTCTTCACTGGAAGGCATTGTAACAGCACAAAAGGCAGCCAGCGCTCTCTCAGCAATGTTCATTTTCCAGAACCTCTCCTGAAACTGTTTCTATGTAGATGTGTTTTCCCATCATCATACCTCTACTCTTTTGTTCGCGTATACAGTGAGGGTGGTGGACAACACGCTGGCTACCATCATAGCCTCAGCTGTGGGTGGAGCCATTGCAGCAATAATGGGCTTCATGTTGCTCAAGAACTTCACTCTCTTTGTTCTTTCCAAGCTTGAGGAGAAAAAGTGAGTGTTCACAACCACCTGGATATTTATCAGCAATGCAACCATTTCATTTTCTTTCATCGGAGTACATTGTTGGTACATGTCTGGATATCTCAGATACTGAGGTAGATTTTAAATGAAGTTCAACATGTGTCTTTGAGCTGCTTCGTGTGTACAGTTCTAACTTTGTATTTTTTCCTCCAACCCCACTGCAGTAAGGAGTGCCTTGTAACTTCATCAGGGATCGACAACACAGAAAATGGCCTCTCAGGATCCAAAGCTGATTCAAAACCAACACCAAAAAAGAAATGAGAAAGTGCATGTATATATAACCATATGAGTACTATTATATTTATGTACCTTCTTTGCATATATTTGTATATGCACATGTGTTTGCACACATGCAAATTCATTATGTTGGGATCCTAAAAACTCGGCCTGGCTGTGGCCTTCAAAAGGGAATGTACACATGAGCACGCAATGCTTCCACATGTGCATGGACTGCAGATGATATACAACCAAAGAATGTGCTAATCACGAGCTCACACGTTATATTTGAAATGTGCACACAGTTTAATAATTTACATCTAACGATAATTGCACCTACCAGAGACACTGTATACAGTTATTATATATATATATATATATATATATAATAAATATATCATGTCTCCCATATATCTACCTCCTCTGTCACCATTGGTCAACACATTACCATCTTTGTTTTTGGCTGAAGGGAGCTGACCGTCTGATAGCAGGTAAATATTTGACAAGTAAAGCTACCATCTATACAATTAAAAAAATGTTCCCAAGTTGTCTCTGGTTAGACTGTGAGACTGACAGTTCATTACAGACAGTGGAAGAAAACACAAGGCTCTCACTAAAAAAAGAAATAATACTGGAAACTGTGAGGTTTAATTCAACTGGTCGATTCCTTGCTGTATCATACACACGCATTTTGTGTGAGATTTGTTGAGCTATTGATTGATATTTGGTCATTCTCATCGTTCCCACTGGCAAAGTCACCATCTGATACATCCTTGCCAAGCAAGTAAACCAACTGAATGTTAACTTGCCCTTCAACATTGTTTTCTGTGGTTTTGTGTTTCTACTTTACCATTAGATATTACTTTGAGTACACCATGAAGCACCCAGAAAGGCACAGTAATAAATCTGAGGAAAGACCCAATTTAAAATGCTGTTCAGACACACAGGGGGCTGCTCATCTTGCTGGCACAAGTCATGGGTGATTATACACATTGAGTATAAACTATTTTATGATCACTAAGCTCAACCAGTGTCTCTGGTTGCTGTTTTTTTAACTCGTTAGATTAAAGCCAAATTGTGTGCGCATTATATTACATTATGGGGATGTTTGTGTGAATTTGTATGAGCATGTTATTTAACTGTGTGTGTGTGGGGGTTACTCACAAATATTTATAAAACTGTTGTATGTCATCTTGCACAGTCGTGCACTGTTGAAGCGCTTTGTAGCCATGATATATCAATAATTGTCTGTGGCCACAGTCAGAGCACATAAAAAAAAGAAACTTTGACTGTTTTTCATCTGAAGTCAGAACAAAAATACTTTTTTATTTAAGTGCTTGAGACAGGAAATAACGCAATGTAGTTACAGCTGGGCTGAATCCATCTCTAACTAACACCAAATTCACAGTAGCTCTTTGAGAATATAATCAAATAAATCCAAATCAATTGATTTCGAAATTGCAGTGTTGGCCTATAATTTCTCACAAATCTACTGATAAATTTGTAGCTACTTTCCACTAGAGTATGTTGTCTGATTTATTCAAACATTCAAGCTTTAAGTAGTACTAACACAAATGGTATTGCCAGAATATTATAGGATTCAGCCCAGCTCTTCATCCTGTACCTTCTCTTTGCTCGATATAAAACACAGGTGCCTGTTAGTGCTTCTATGCTCCTCTGCCAGCGAGGACAACTACATATTGCAAAACAGTTTATAAAACCCAGCAAACAGTAATAGTACAAGCGCCTGAGCTGAAATGATAGACAATCCCCTGAAACACCCCCCCTAGAAAATGAATGACTCTCTGATGATGCTGCTTTTAAGACAAATAACCAATGCATTTTAAGCATGTGCAACATGGGCCAGATTTTAAACACAATGCTAGATAACAGAAATACATACTTTTTGGAAAAACATGTTCCAATATACTAACACTGGTAGCATCAGCTCTGAGGTTAATTGTAAATCCCATTTTACGCCATGCTTATTTCATCGTGCTAACCCTGGCTAAAGCTAAGCACTATTTGGTGACGTGGCCCTGGATACTGTATGCCTGGATCAGACTCAACATATCTCTTTTGCTTAGTATGTGCCTCTTCATGGAAATGGCTCGTTTTTTCCTAAACGCTGACAAACATTCATTCAGTCAGTGTTTTACTCTTTGCAATAAATAACTTTTACTTGCTGCACTGCAGAGAAAAAGATAATACCTGTTGCCCTGCCCATGCATACAGTAAATGACCCTTAGATTCATAGTTTAAATGATCATGGGATCAGGCCTCAGAGAGCAGGCTGAGTAGGGGGGCTGTAGTTCAAGTACAGGAAAAAAAGAGACAAGTGATGCTCTCAGTGTAGCCCTCTGACTGTGCCAAACGGATGATTCCTTCTAAGCATCACACTAGGAGATGAATGTATCTGCATCAAACTCTTAACAGTGAAATACAATTTCACCTGCATTTACAATACACATCTGTCTCACATTCACTGAATGTCTGACTTTAAAAAGAAATACCTCTGGAGAGTGGGACAGATGTGTGGGTAAACACTGTGTCAGGTCAGATGGAAACGTACTTCCCCAGTGGCAACTTGTGTCGAATGAGCATACTGTGCAGTCAAGTGTGAATTTCTGGGGTTTTCACTGTTAAGTTAATAATAATGTGCCTCCACATTAAAGTGACTTTAGGCTTAAGTCACTGGCTTGAAGCAATATTATAAAAGGGGTGTGTTGGGCACTTTAGAAAGATGTATATTTTTGTGTATGTATAATCTAAACCAGTGTGGGTATGTCACATTGATCATCCAAGTGAGACAAGAAGCAACCAAAGGAAAATAGGAAATTGTCGGGTTCTAGGATTCGTCAAGATCCCATGATTCTCCGTTTCCTGTTGAAACAGCATTTGACTCCAAGGGATCAGTCTCAAAGGAGTAGATTGACATTTCAGGAAATACGCTTATTTGCTTTCTTGCTGAGAGTTAGATGAGAAGATCAATATCACTATCGTGTCTGTCTGGTGAATGTGTAGCTACAGCCACCGATTAGCTTAACTTAGCATAAAGAGTGGAAACGGGGGGAAAATGCTAGCCTGGCTCTGTCCAAATGAAACAAAATGCACCTACCATCACCTCTAAAGCTCATTAATGAACACATAATACCTTGTTTGTTTCATCCATACAAAAACTGAAGTGTAAAAACATCGAGCTGTGGTTTGATGTTAGACTATCTGGGTGCAGTGACTTTCTGGAGTCCCAGCTGGTTGCCTGGCAACTGCACAGTGATGACAACACTCCAGGAATTATACAAACAAGACATTTTAATTAATGAGCCCTAGACGTGTTGGTAGGCAGTTTTTTTTTCCTGTTTTGACAGTACAAGGTTCTCTCATTTGCTACCAGTATTTTTGCTAAGCTAAGCTAACCATCTCCTGGCTCCAGCTCCGTATTTAACAGACAGAAATGAGAGATTTCGATCTTTTTGTGTAATTCTTGGCAGGAAAGTAAATATACATAATTCCCACACTGTTGAACTATTGCTTTAAGTATGAACCAATGGGCTATTAGTCATGAAAAAAAAAAAAAAGATTTGATAGAACTTGTCATCATCCCATGTCTTGGGATGTTTGTGAAAGATAATGCAGGTACACAAGGTGCAACATATGTTATGGGTAATATACATTTGTCATATGTGTGTTTACCATATTCTTGTTTGCCTTAAAAGAGAAAATCCCCCCTCGAGCAGGACTAGGACTTGTGTTGTCAAGAAATCTCTTTGGAAACATGAAAGATTAATAAGATCAAATATTTTATTGCAATAATTGAATTTAACTTCTGAAGAGTGGGTTTTCTCTGAGTGCACAAGACAAATCTGTCAGTTGTTGTCTAATCAGACTTGGTTAAAAAAACATGATTTGTCTGAATTACCGTCTTACTGAACCAATGAATTAAGAAAAATGTGGGAATTGTGACAGCGAGGGCCTTATGATGACAAGCAACTCTATGCAAATCCCGACAGAAGTGACAGTTTGTCACACTGCACCTTCGAGTTACTGTGACAGTTCTGAGAGCAATACGACAGTAGGAGATGTCCTGGATCAGGGAGTTGTGATGATGGGATGCAGGGGTGAATGGGGAACATCCAGAGAGGAGCATGGAGTGGGCTGTAGCCCCTGTACTCGATCAGACTCTGCAGGGCATATAGATTCACCAAGTCATGCTCCACCGCCGCTCTCTGCACACAAATATACAGCTGTAATGCTCTGGCTCGCCCTCAGATGATGTCTCCATTTTCAACCTCTCATCCGTGCATATCAGCTCTCGATCTCTTTATTATAGAAACATGAAATCTAATAAAGTTTTGAATAAAACCCACCCTGTCATGCTGTCTGTATATCAACTGGGTTGTCTCAGTTTGGGCTTGGAGACTACAAACTTTTAATATAAAGCCTGCATTACAAACTGCACAGAGCTTCACAGACATATAAACTGCGTGCAGAGAAGCTCTATTGAAAGACACTATCAAGCTGCATTATGGGAAGTGTAGGATTGAGTGTTTTTTGAGCTTAACTCAAAAAGTCAGGATATTTCTGCCTCTGCTGTGTTTTACCTTTAAGATTTAAAAAAATTGGTCTCTCACTAGCCCCCCCACTTTAAGGAAGATAAAAAGTAAATTAATAGAGTACCCCTTTAATCCTATACAATAAACAACACACAGAAGAAAGGTAAGGAGGTAAAATCAAATAATTTTGCCACTAAATTAACATTAACGACAACATCCATGTTCAGAAAATCATCAGTTATCTTGACTTCATGTTATGTCCAACTCTCTGATATTTGGAGGGTTGCAGTGAGCTCAGACGTCAAAGCATCATATATTATAAACTGTATGCATACAAAGGAAATTCCAATTAGAATTTGAGCATTTTTATTTAATATTTTGTATTACTAGTGCAGTTAATTCACATAATACACTGTGCTACAGAAACGTTTTCCTATATAATCTAGGACTACTAAAGTTGCTTTACTACCACAAAGCGCCACAAACATAATCACATCTACATCTACAGGGTCATATATTCTACTCGATCACTGTGCAGAAATAAGAGAAAAATGTGCCCAGTTACATGTGCCCGTCTAACCAGCAGATGTCAGCAGTGACCTGCATGTGGAGCCTCAACCCCCGGACCGGATCAGATCGCAGCGGCCGCTGCAGGCAGCTGTGCCGTGAGAAGAGCAGAGACCTGCCTTCTCTTCAAGTTGTTTAAGTTTAAAGAAAACCAAGTTTTGATTGAGTGACCTGTGACCCTTGGGCGTCCAATAGCCTACATATGTGTAGATTTTTG